TCTCATTATGCACAGCGTGCTTCAGGATTTTTTTATACTGCGCACGCTGACCACATAGACCCATTCTTTCATATGTAGGCCTGCCAGCTTTCTTCCACCAGATTTGAAGGTGCTAGAATTTAGGCATACAAGTATGTGACCGACCCTGGCTGCAATGACGTACAGTGGACCCCCGGTTAACGATATTTTTTCATTCCAGAAGTATGTTCAGGTGCCAGTACTGACCGAATTTGTTCCCATAAGGAATATTGTGAAGTAGATTAGTCCATTTCAGACCCCCAAACATACACGTACAAACGCACTTACATAAATACACTTACATAATTGGTCGCATTGGGAGGTGATCGTTAAGCGGGGGTCCACTGTACTTGTATGTGTACCGACCTCAAAGATCGACAAACACTTTAATTGCCAGACATAATGAGGGCAAATTCCTTGGCCTATACCTCGACAACAACCTAAATTTCAGCACCCATATCCAACACATAACAAAAAAAGTATACAAAATGGTGAGGATCCTCTCCAAGATACAATACTACATACAGCAAACTGCCCTTCTCACACTATACCATTCACTTATACAGTAAGGCCCCGCTTTACGGCATTCCGCTAATACGGCGATGTCAAATTATGACCAAAATTTGCTATACAGCAAGCGGTCTTTCAAATACGGCGCCCCCACCCGGTTTGTTTACATTTTCCGTGGCCACATCTGTTATGTCGGGAAACTTTCCAAAATTTCAAGTGTTTTAAAGTTACTGCATATTTTATATGTACTCTGATAATTATACTTATGTGTACCTGTACCTAAATACAGTGGACCCCCGCTTAACGATCACCTCCCAATGGAACCAATTATGTAAGTGTATTTATGTAAGTGCATTTGTACTTGTATGTTTGGGGGTCTGAAATGGACTAATCTACTTCACAATATTCCTTATGGGAACAAATTCGGTCAGTACTGGCACCTGAACATACTTCTGGAATGAAAAAATATCATTAACCGGGGGTCCACTGTATACTTACACACTGTGCTGGTGTGCAGGTACACATTAAAATCCCTAAGTCTCTCTCTACTCATGACGCCAATACTACGTAATAATAATCACTCTTGGGCATACTGAATGTCTTATTTTACATCAATATAGGCATTTTCATTAATCCATCTATGATATTTTCCTCAAAATTATATATGAAACCCATTACATAGCATATAAACATGATACATACACTCAAAATAAAAATTTATGTAAATATGAGATTTGTTTACAAAGCAGCTGTGTAGGTGGTGTCAGAAGAATTAAGTTTTCTCTAGTCAAACACTGGGGGGTAACTTTAGAAAAATATTCTTTTCATATGCCTTTACTCTATGTATAGCAATTCACGACCCTTGTGGGTTTAGTGCTTTTTTATAATAAAATAATAATAATTATTTATTATTATTATTATTATTATTATTATTATTATTATTATAATAATAATAATAATTAATAATAATAATAATAATAATAATAATAATAATAATAATAATAATAATAATAATAATAATAATAATATTATTATTATTAATTATTATTATTATTTTATCTTCTTCATTCACTCTAAAAATGGTGTGTTGCTGTTTGTTTATTCTGAACTAACTTGTACAACTTGTACATAATGTAAGAATATTTGTATTGTGAGGCAATTATTATAATAAAAAAATATTGAGGTAAATGTTTTACAAACTTACAAATGGACATGAATGAACTAAAAGTAGACACATATTAATACGCATTTATTTCCCCTGACCAAGTGATCGTCCACTACCTATTCAGTTTGTGTTCTTACATTGTCTCAACTCTGTATCTCGTTCTCTCTCTCATTTACTCTTTCGTTAACTAGTTGGCTCTCATTGACGATGGCGTCTAAGGTTAGCTCTGATAAAAAGAGAAGTCGTAAGCCTCTTGCTTTAAGTGCCAAGTTAGAGGATGATGGTGTGCCATTCTGATTTTATTCAATAAACACCCTGCCACTCTCCTCTCACACATTAATATTAATATTTTAAGGTAAGTAATAAGTGTACTCTGTGTGTATCTTACCTTTTATTGTGTTTTTAATGCCTATTTCTTTTGCTAACTTAATATAAGTTAGTGTAAACTTGTTGTCTGGCATTTATTGCATATTTTATGTGTGCTCTGATAATAATACTTGTGGAGCTGTGTGGCAGCCGGGTGGAGGGACAACATTACGTTTTCTCTGTTCAGCCATCAGAGAAAATGTGTATGAATCTGCGTTTGGCCCAGCCACTCCCTCACTCCACTTTTGTTTACAATTTTCGGCATGAATTATTCATTACTTCTACCTTCGTTTATGATGGCATCTAAAGGTAGCTGTTAGAAATTATTAAATTCAGTGAACAAGGCATGTCAATGTTAATAATATGGCTCTGGGCCACAGTGTAGATAGCCTGTAGGTGTAGCCCAGGCGGGCTGCACCTACTGGCTACACCTACCATCTACCTACTCTGATTTTATACAAATAAATACTACTCGCCTCTCTTCCTATATTAAGACTACACATATTTTAAGGTAAATAATGAGTGTACTGTATGAGCATTTTACCTCTCTGGGATGTTTTAAATATCGTATATTCAGTATGAGATGGGGAGCCAGTGCTACCTACACCTGGGCTACCTTCACCTGACTTCCTACAAATAAGTACTACTCACCTCTCTCCCTACATTAAGATTACAAATACTTTAAGATAAGTAAGGAATTTACTGTGACTGTATTTTACTTTGTGTGTTTTTAATGCCTAGTTCTATTACTAACTTAATATAATTTAGTGTAAACTTGCTGTCTGGCATTTATATGCATTTATAAATGGAAAAAAATGGAGTTCTGCCTTCCGGCGATATCTGCTTTCCGGCGACAGCCTGGAACCTAACCCGCCGTATAAGTGGGGCCCTACTGTATATCCATACCTCACCTATGCTATCTGTGCTTGGGGTTCAACTGCAGCAACACACCTTAAGCCAATAATAACCCAACAAAAAGCTGCAGTAAGAATAATCACTAAATTCCATCCCTGGCAACACACCCCCCACTCTTCATAGATCTAAACTTCCTCCCTGTTCAGAACATCCACACTTACTACTGTGCAATCTATATCTACAGGACCTTAAATTCCAATATTAATTAACCTTGACCTAAAACACTTTCTTGATAGTTATGACAGGATCCACAGGCATAACACCAGACACAAACATCTCTATGACATTCCCCGTGTTCGACTAAACCTTTACAAAAATTCAATGTATTTCAAAGGACCTAAAATCTGGAACACCCTACCTGAAAACTCTAGAACTGCAGACACATTCATCACTTTCAAAACTACAGTTAGAAAACATCTTATCTCCCTGATCCACCCTGACAACTAACTACATGATAACCACCTGGTGGCTCACAATTACACTCACTCACCCACTGACTATAAACCCAGAAATTAGCAATTTGGTCAATTTCACGTAAATTAAAAAAGATGCCAATTTCAAAATAGGGTCCAGAATAAACAATGTAGACATGTTTGGCACTAAAATAACGTATCCTCTGTACATTACTCAAGTCTCTAGGCCCCTCTTATATTACTATTGCTTTCTGTTTTGATTTTTTATTCATACAAAAAATACAAAATTTACGGTTATGCAGACTACTGCATTATTGTAAAAATGTTATAAATAATATCAGTGAACTAGTGAAATAATATTAGACTCCCCGTTTTTTCTATCAATTGAGTACGAGAAACCACCCATTTACCGATTTCAACTCTCCAATAAAGTGGTCAGAATTTAGCAATTTTGCCAATTTCACACAAATTTCAAAAGATGCCATTTTTCAAATAGGGTCCAGAATAAACAAGAAAGACATTCCTGGCACTAAAATAACATTTCCTCTGTACAGTAGTCATGTCCCTAGGCTCTTCTTGCATTTCTTTTGCTTTCCACTTAGATTTTTTATTCTCACAAAAAAAATAAGATTTACTGTTATGCAGACTACTGCATTAGTGTAGAAATGGTATAAATAATATCAGCACCACTTGTGAAAGATATATTAGACTCACCAGTTGACGTGTATTGGACGCATGGCATGATTTGTTTACTTTTGATCTTTGGTAAAAATCGAACATTTCTGCTACTTTGAGCTCAATTTCAAGGTACTTTTCATTGTAAAACCAGCCAAAATCATCTTAATTTCTGTAATGTGCCTTCCATTCTATACAATGAGACCAGGAAAACTGGAATACAACAATAAATACCATACGAAAATACAGTGCAAAGTCACTGTTTTAAACCAGAAACATTGTCAAAGTTTTTTTTTCTCATTACGCACTGTGTGCTGCAGGATTTTTTTTTTTACTGCGCACACTGACCACATTGACCCATTCTTTCATATGTAGGCCTACCAGCTTTCTCTTGCTAGATTTGAGGGCGCTAGAATTTATGCGTACTAGTACGTCAAAAACCCTGGTGCGTAAGCCGTACTTGTATGGCCGAAACCTCAAAAGGGTTAAGTGTTAGCATTGATGGAGTAAATTAGTACACCTTAGAAATGGCAGTTTTTATTTAATTTTGAGGCAGATGTATGACCTTTGCTCCATGGATGATGGTTTTTAGAGAATTTACATTTGGAACTGTTATTCCAGGATTTGTATTCACTATATTTTAAATTGCTTTTATTAAATGATCATTTCCTACCATTAATTCCTTATATGTGATAAAAAAGTTACTCCTTTTCAATCAGTTCAATTCACAAAACTTAATGAATTAAGTGTTAATAAACCTGAGTGAGATTACCACAGCTGCATTGTGCCTGAAATACATTTGTGTCATAATCATGGACTGCTTCATGTGTTTTATGTAATTACTGTATATTCCACCATAAAACTTCTTTAAAATGACCCATATAGGTTTGATGATATTCTCCACATTTTGGTTTCTTATTCTTAAATTTTATTTTCAGAAAATGGGAAATCGGGTCTTTTAGATGGAGAGTCGCCCACCCGCTTCAAACGTGACTTAGTAGAGTACCTGTTATCATACAAAGCTCCAGATCTTGTACGCTGGACACATATTATTATGAAGTACGACTTTAGTAGCTGCAAGTAAGTTTTACTTTTAAGCGTCTGAATTTGTTTTTTTTTTTCTGTTAGAAGAATAATGTTATTATATTTTAAAACTGTGCTTGCCTCTCAAGTAGCACTCATTCACACAACAACATTTTCAGTAAAACACTAATGAAATAATGAAATTTTGTTATCAGTTTCATGTTGCAAGAGAAATAACTGGTAGTGTCCCAGAGCATGTTGTAAATTTGTGGAAAAATTAGTGTCAGCCCACTCTGCATGCCAAATGTTGTTAGAATGCATTGTGAGATATTTCCCCTCTACCTGCAGTTTTTCCATGGGTGAGGGTTTTTTTTTTTAGAGAAAAGGCCTAGTCTCATTCCTTCATGTAAACTCCCACACTACTAGTTACTGTATTTGTGTCATGTGCCATGTGTTATTCAGTTAATTTTTTTATCCCTTTGTCATCCCATTTCATCTCTGGATAGTAACCAAGGCACTCAAGAGGAATACTAGTGATGCTGAAGGTGTCAAGAAGAAAATTAAACATGAAATCCTAATAGTTTCTAAGAAAATTGAGGCATTACAGATGTATAGTGAAGGTGGGAGGCTGTGAAGTCCAGTAACCCATAATTAAACTGTAACTACACATTCCTGTACTCTTAACAGTCATTTACCTACTATAGCTGTTTTAATATAAGTGTTGAATATGTTGGTGATTGATAAAGAGGCACTTTGTACAGTGAAGTCTTTACTGGTGCAACATTTTACCCATGTACTTGATAAAGCCTACTTGTGGTTGAAACACTGTATCAATGAAGACTTCACTGTATCTTCTTAACCCTTAAACTGTTCATAGATCTACGTTTGCTTGCATAGCACTCCAAACATAGATCTACGTTTTTTTTACATTCTTTCTTATGGGGAAAATCAAGGTCAGAGAGCTATGCTAGAAAATGTAGATTTATGTTTGAACAGTTGAAGGGTTAAGCTGAAGATAGTTACTAACTGTCTTCAGCTTAAGATAGTAATACAGTAAGCTCTTTTATAAAGCTCCTCTATATCATGTGATTTTGTTGTAAATTGGATTGAAAAATGCTTATCCAAAATTAAATAGCATATACTGTGATGGCCTTTCCATGTGCTATTCAATTTTGGATGTACATTTTCAGTTGTATTTACGAAACATTGCACTATACATGTATAGAGGATCCTTATAAGAGTGGTTTCTGTACTAGATATCTAAGGCTCCCCAAACAATTACATTTAATTAGTGCATGTTTCCACAGGGAAGGAAAGTTGTAGAGAATGATGTCAAAATATGTGAGTTACTTAGTGATTGACTTTTTCGGATAAAAAGGCAGCTAACATTGGTACACATTATGGTAGATTTTGTTTTACTGTAAACACTGTTTAGAATTAGTGTTAAAGAATATTTTGAAAGTACTATATTGTTATGCAGAAAGTGGCATTACCTGGGGGCTAAGGCCTCGTCTAGGAGCAAAGGTAAAAGTTAAACGAATCTCATGCTGAAACAGGCCACCCAGGGCTATCCCAGTCAAAACCGAAAGCGCTACACCAGCATTTGTTACTTCAATGGGTTGGTTATCACAGGGTTAGGCAAAATCCCTAGTTAGGAAAATATACATTTATTAGTTATAACACTACATACACACTCTAGAATACCACCTTCATATATATCTTCTCCTAAGTGCCCAAATAATGGTACACAAGAAGCAAGAGGCTGGAGAGTCCAGCAAAACAAACACCTAGCCCAGTGAGTGCCAGGCTTTCCCTACTCCACTAACCCCATTACTTCCTATGCCCTAAGTCCTCACTCATCATGCAAAATCCTGACCCTATCAGAGCCTGGGTGAACATACTGGTAAACCATAAAAGAGCCTGTGGCTCGAGATGCCTAACAAAGTGAGTACAAACTTATCTCAGAGTCCCAGTGCCTGGACAGCATCTTCACTCCCTCCTGCTCACTCCATGTGACTGCCCCAAGCCAAGCCACTCACGCTTACTAACTTATAAAATAAGTCCCGGCAGGATTTCCTTACATTTTACAGTTTAAGGTACTTTACAATACCCACCAATGCATAGCATATTTCTAAAATTATGAGTGACCTTTATCCATAGTTCAAACTTTATGATTTACAATTATGTCATAGTTCATTAAAATTATGGCACACTTCTGTATATACATTACAGTGCACTGCAGAATCCTGCATAACATATATTAAATTTGACTAACTGTTGTTTCTTTCAGTGTGGTGTTTGTGGGTAGTACTCCTGGCTATCACACAGGAGAGGACAAAGACCGCTGGGGACACATGAAAGTTCGTAGGGCTATACGACAGCATGCAACCTCCTGGAAGTCATCGTTACCAATAATTGCTCAGTGCTCCTCTATAGGTAACTTTATGTTGAGAATTTCAGTATGAGAATCAGAAGACTGGTTCTAACCATAGTGAATACATTTGTTGATATCTAAATTAACAGTTACTGTTATCATTGTCTCCACAGCCTAGTCTCAGACCAGGCCTGATTGCTCAGTCTGTTGGTGCTTATAGCATCTTGTCCAGTGGCACCACAGATCAGCGCTGCTGCGTTGTGTGACACACAAACACATTCATTGTCTTGTGTGGCACACACATCTAGTATGTTATGTGACACATATATTCAGTGTGTTGTGTGATGTACATTCAGGGAGTTGTGTGACATACATTCAGTGTGTTGTGTGGCACACACACATAAGGTATTGTGTGATATACACTCAGTGTGACTCACAAAATAATAATGACACGGTTGCCAACAAACCATATCACGGTTGGGGGTTGAACTCGTGGCCAGCTGGCCCAGTGGCTTACGCACTGGCCTGGAGTTTTACGATTCACTTGCCATGAATTCAGTCTCTGCCTGTGCTATGGTCTTAACATTCAAGTGTGTTCTGTGGCACACACATAATGTGTTGTGTGACATACATTCATTGTGTTGTCTATTCTGCATGGAGTTTTTTATCTCTGTAATTGTGTGATAAAATATCTTACTGTTTTGCCTGTATAAATGTAATCGCATCTCTTCATGAAGTGTTGCAAACCTCTGCGGGTTTTTTGTCTTCCTGATGTGGTGATACCTTGGTGACTTCCACAGTTCCAGTGTCATATGTCCGAAGTAGAGGGTGACTGGAAGTTGCTGTCTGTTTTAGGGGTTGAATTATTTGGGGATCAGCATTGGTGCTTTCTCTGAGTTGGTAATTCTGCTAAAGGCTTTGATATGGCAGGAGAGGCTGACATGTTCTCTCCATGCATCACACCTCTCTTTTTGTTTTGAGGTCATAGTGAGAGTAGTTGTGGATTAAATCTTCCTCATTAATAGGTTTACAGTAGATTTTATGTTGGAAGTTATTGTTCCTGATGAGGAAGATATAAAAAAAAAAGTGAGTTGTCTTGTTTCTCTTCTGTTGTAAAATGTATAGAGAATTCGATCTGATAGAGTTGATCCTTGATATTATGAACATTGAAACTTTTTGGTACTATGAATAAAACTATTAAGGAATTTATCAGGGCATCCCACCTCATAATAACACCCCATGTGGGTAGTGATGGTTATGGGCATAGATGGTAGTGATGGTCATGGGCATAGATGATATATATGGCTGCCTATATCATGGTATGAAGTAACATAACACATTGGTATTATCTCATCTGAGAGTAATTTGTCTTCCATGTGGTGAAATTTGGGTATGTTAAATTATTCAAAATTTTGGGTAATCAAGAATATTTTGAAGTGAAGGTATTTAACTCACAATATAAGAGTAATCTGTGTATTGCTCTGTAGCAGGAAGTAAATGCTGGAGTAATATACCAATGGAATACTTGTCCATTTATTAAATTTCCTAGGGCAAGCTCCTTTACTTAGTTACATTATGTGCGCTTTTTATATCTAGTAATTGCTTTATGTTTATCTATTTTGTTTGGAAAATTGAAGCAGCAAGTAAGAGAGAGGTGAAGGTTTATAAGCTAAAGGAGGAGGCAGTTGGGGTAAGATATAAACAACTATTGGAGGATAGATGGGCTAGTGAGAGTATAGGCCATGAAGTTGAATATGTATGGGATAGGTTTAAGAATGTTGTGTTAGAGTGTTCAGCAGAAGTTTGTAATTACAGGAAAGTGGGTGCGAGAGGGAATAAGAGCAATTGGTGGAATGATGAGAAAAAGTTAGCATATGAGAGGTATTTACAAAGTAGAAGTGATACAAGGAGGGAGGAGTATATGGAGAGGAAAAAAGAGGTTAAGAGAGTGGTGAAGCAATGTAGAAAGAGAGCAAATGAGAGAGTGGGTGAGATGTTATCAACAAATTTTGTTGAAAATAAGAAAATGTTTTAGAGTTAGGTCAATAAGTTGAGGAATCCTAGGGAACAAATGGATTTGATAGTTAAAAATAGTTTTTTTTTTTATTTTTATTATCACACTGGCCGATTCCCACCAAGGCAGGGTGGCCCGAAAAAGAAAAACTTTCACCATCATTCACTCCATCACTGTCTTGCCAGAAGGGTGCTTTACACTACAGTTTTTAAACTGCAACATTAACACCCCTCCTTCAGAGTGCAGGCACTGTACTTCCCATCTCCAGGACTTAAGTCCGGCCTGCCGGTTTCCCTGAACCCCTTCATAAATGTTACTTTGCTCACACTCCAACAGCACGTCAAGTATTAAAAACCATTTGTCTCCATTCACTCCTATCAAACACGCTCATGCATGCCTGCTGGAAGTCCAAGCCCCTCGCACACAAAACCTCCTTTACCCCCTCCCTCCAACCTTTCCTAGGCCGACCCCTACCACGCCTTCCTTCCACTACAGAATGATACACTCTTGAAGTCACTCTGTTTCGCTCCATTCTCTCTACATGTCCGAACCACCTCAACAACCCTTCCTCAGCCCTCTGGACAACAGTTTTGGTAATCCCGCACCTCTTTCTAACTTCCAAACTACGAATTCTCTGCATTATATTCACACCACACATTGCCCTCAGACATGACATCTCCACTGCCTCCAGCCTTCTCCTCGCTGCAACATTCATCACCCATGCTTCACACCCATATAGGAGCATTGGTAAAACTATACTCTCATACATTCCCCTCTTTGCCTCCAAGGACAAAGTTCTTTGTCTCCACAGACTCCTAAGTGCACCACTCACCCTTTTCCCCTCATCAATTCTATGATTCACCTCATCTTTCATAGACCCATCCGCTGACACGTCCACTCCCAAATATCTGAATACATTCACCTCCTCCATACTCAGTCTCTCCAATCTGATATCCAATCTTTCATCACCTAATCTTTTTGTTATCCTCATAACCTTACTCTTTCCTGTATTCACTTTTAATTTTCTTCTTTTGCACACCCTACCAAATTCATCCACCAATCTCTGCAACTTCTCTTCAGAATCTCCCAAGAGCACAGTGTCATAGGTGAGGAGAGTTATTAAATGGAGAGTTAGAGGTATCGGGAAGATTGAGAGAATGTTTTGAGGAATTGTTAAATGTTGATGAAGTTAGGGAAGCTGTGATTTCGTGTATAGGGCAAGGAGGAATAACATCTTGTAGGAGTGAGGAAGAGCTAGTTGTGAGTGTGGGAAAAGTTCGTGAGGCAGTGGGTAGAATGAAAGGGGGTGAGGCAGCTGGGATTGATGGGATACAGATAGAAATGTTAAAAGTGGGTGGGGATATAGTTTTAGAGTGGTTAGTGTTTTTATTTAATAAATGTATGGAAGAGGGTAAGGTACCTAGAGATTATACACAAATAACCCGCACATAGACGAGAGGAGCTTGTGATGACGTTTCAGTCCGACTTGGACCATTTACAAAGTTGTCGTAAGCTCCACTCTTCTATGTGTGGGTTATTTGTGTATCATTCCAGTCACGGTATTGTGCCTTTTGTTTTTGTTATTTATGTACCTAGGGATTGGCAGAGAGCATGCATAGTTCCTTTGTATAAAGGCAAAGGGGACAAAGAGAGTGCAAAAATTATAGGGGTAATAAGTCTGTTGAGTTGTAGGTAGTAGGTTGGTAGACAGCAACCGCCCATGGAGGTACTACCGTCCTGCCAAGTGAGTGTAAAACAGAAACCTGTAATTGTTTTACATGATGGTAGGATTGCTGGTGTTTCTTTTCTGTCTCATAAACATGCAAGATTTCAGGTACGTCTTGCTACTTCTTCTTACACTTAGGTCACACTACACACACATGTACAATCATGTACATATATACATACCCCTCGGTTTTCTTCTATTTTCTTACTAGTTCTTGTTCTTGTTTATTTCCTGTTATCTCCACGGGGAAGTGGAACAGAATTCTTCCTCCATAAGCCATGCGTGTTATAAGAGGCGACTAAAATGCTGGGAGCAAGGGGCTAGTAACCCTTTCTCCTGTATACATTACTAAATTTAGAAAGAGAAACTTTTGTTTTTCTTTTTAGGCCACCCTGCCTTGGTGGGAAACAGTCGATTTGTTGAAAGAAAAAAAAAGTCTGTTGAGTATACCTGGTGAAGTGTATGGTAGAGTTATTATTGAAAGAATTGAGAGTAAGATGGAGAGTAGGATAGGAGATGAACAAGGAGGCCTTAGGAAAGGTAGGGGGTGTGTAGATCAAGTGTTTACAGTGAAACATATAGGTGAATAGTTTTTAGATAAGGGTAAAGAGGTTTTTGTGGAATTTTTGGATTTGGAAAAGGCATATGACAGGGTGTATATGGGGACAATGTGGCAGATGTTGCAAATGTAAGGAATAGAAGGTAGGTTATTGAAAGTAGTGAAGAGTTTTTATGAGGATAGTGAGGCTCAGGTTAGAGTATGTGGGAGAGAGGGAGATTATTTCTCAGTAAAAGTAGGCCTTAGACAAGGATGTGTGATGTCACCATGGTTGTTTAACCCTTAAACGGTCCAAACGTATATATATGTTCACTCGCATAGCGCCCCAAATTTTTTGAGGAAAAAATAAATCTTTTCTTTTAAAAGGAAAAAAGAGCATATGGTGCCCAGGCATCCCCAATTATTTTAATATGGAACACAGTGAGTGCACACACCCATTCTCTCATGTCTAGGTGACTCAGGCTTATTGTGGCAATGTTGAACGAATGACAAAGAAAACGTATATATACATTTGGGGCACTATGCGCATGAACGTATATATACGTTTGGACCATTTAAGGGTTAATAGATTTTTAGATGATGCTCTAAGAGAAGTGAATGCTCGGGTGTTGGTACGAGGTTTGGGGTTAAAAGATAAAGAATCTAACACAAAGTGGGAGTTGTCACAGTTGCTCTTTGCTTATGACACTGTGCTTTTGGGAGATTCTGAAGAGAAGTTGCAGAGGTTGGTAGATGAATTTGGTAGGGTATGTAAAAGAAGAAA